CGACAAGAGCACAGTTCATACCAGTGCTAAGCACTTTGGTATACTGCATATACTACGTGTGGAACACTTTTTTTTTCTTTGAAAATGAGCTCATAGTAGTATTTCAGTTATTCCTAGGGCTTATTGCAAAAATTCTAGCAAATTTCTGCGATAGTATTGACAGAGAATTCTGAGCTTAATCTAAACTTTCCTTAAAAGGTGGAATGTTTATGCTGGTCTTCTTTGAATTGATGATGTATCAATTCCATGTCATTCATCCATTTCCAAGTTTGCCATGGCTATGACTTTAATCTAGTGAGTTGAGTCCATTGTTTAAATATAAACTGAAACCAGATTTCAAGTTTATCTCATGGATTATTCATAGTCACCCAGAGGTTACAGTTGCTAACCTTTCAGTTAGCTCTTTCCTTCTTTCCTTCCTTCCTTCCTTCCTTCCTTCCTTCCTTCCTTCCTTCCTTCCTTTCTTCCTTCTTTTTAAAAGTCTGTCTGTGCACAGGCCAAGGAACAGGATGATACTGTCTCCTGCTCACAGTTAGATATTATTCAAGATAGATCAATTAGCACGGATGACCCTGAGTGGTCCGGGAGTTTACAGAAGGACTGGCAGCCAGGGTTGCTAGGACTAAATAAGGGGTTTCATACAGAATGGTAACTCAGTGGTAGATGCCTCTGTTTATGGAAGAAAATATGCTTTCTGATCCTGGGAGTATCTCCAGGAGAATCCACTTGGGGATTTCTCTGCATCCAGCTCTGTGGGTTTGTGCATATATTGGAAGAGTCTGTCGTGATTACATGTGTTTGCATTGCTACATTGATCATTTTCATTATATAATTTATGTTGAGAAGTTGGGGTTTCATGTGTGATGGAGGGAATATTTCATTTTGGCCAACAGTTTTTTAGCTTTCTGTCCATACTTGGTTTGCCTGTTGCTTTTGGGCTTGTGAGGTGAACATCATAGGGGAAGTGTATGGTGGTGGAGGCTGCATAGTTCATGGGGGCCAGGAAGCAAAGCAAGAGAGAGGAGGGCCTAGAATCCCAGCATCCTCTTGGAGGGAAGCCCTCCAATGACCTAGGCTCCTCCTACTGGGCCCTCCTTCCTCACCAGGAGAACCGCAGGTTGATTATCAAACCTCCTGCATCTCGGTCTCTGGGAAACAGTGAAGATATGAACCACAGCACTGCTTTGTCTGGTGAGGGTCCTTGACCCTAGAGCCAGACTGTGGGGATGCAAAGCTAAGGCCCATCATTCGCTGAGTATCTCAGGGAAGTTATCTAATCTCTGTCTGTCTCAATTTCCACATCTGAGGCTATGGAAAAGATTGTACCTAATTCACTGCTAAGGGCATAATAAGCATGAAATAAGGTGCACATAAGACTAGGAACAGTGTCTGGAACACAGTGTGAGTTTCAGAAGATTTGGTAGTCACAAGGAGCTCTCCATTATTACAGGACAACAGTGGGAAGAGGTTATCTTCTCTAGTTGAATATTACTAAACTCTCTATCCTTAAAATATTGTATGGTAAAATATGCAGAAAATAAAATACCTAGAGATAATTATTAATAACCCTTTCCATGTAGTTTTATATTTATTCTAAGCATGTATACACATGTGTTTTACATCATTTGAATCATGTGTGTATAGCTTGTATCCTCCTTTTTAGCTAGGTATGTCAAATATTCTCTGGGCAATCACAGTGTCTTACCAACATGGTTAATGGTTAGATAGTATTCCAAAGTGTGCATGAATATTTTATTTAATCATTCCTTTATTGATAGGTGTGTATTTATTTACTTATTTTTATAACAAATACCATATACATAGATTTTTCTATTTCTGATTATTGCTAAGAGCATTCTATTCCAACTGTAATGATTATTGGCTAACATTAGTAAAATTATAAATCTTTCAGCATCTTGCCTGATAATCTTTCACTAAACATGTTATAATTTATGCTCTCAGTTTAGTCTACCAGGAGTATGTTGAATTTCCTGTAAAATCCATTCCTCACTTCACTACCTTTGTTTTGAGCAGAGTGCCAGGGGACAGACAGCCTTAGGAGAGTGTGGCCACGCATTACCCCGAGACTGTCTGTTGGTGGTGCTGCCATATACTAGCTTTTGTATTTCTTTGTATCTTATGATGAAAACAGTAGTAATGCTTTAAAAGCAGAGTGGATAATTTGAAGTTATAGATTTACAGACAGTTTTTCTTATAAGCATCTCTTTTTTTTTAATGCTAAAGATACTAACAACTTCTGGCTCTATATGGGAATATTATCCAACTGAGAAAAATAAGAGGAATTCTGAAGTCAGGCCTAAACATTGTAGTTGGTTCCCATGATCTGAAGCATGGAGCTGGTGGAAAGAGCCTGGCCTGGAGTGAGTTCGGTGTGAATTCTGTGTCCATCAGAGCTTTGTGATCTTAGACACTTTATCTGACTTTAATATCAGTTTTGCGTTTAAAATATTAACCCTAATATATCTTCTAAAGAGGTTTTATGAAGCTTTAAGAAGATGATGTTTTGTAATGAGTGATAGCTTTTATAACAATCACCTAAGGTAGTGATTTGGCTGCCATGTTTGTGTCAGGTTTGGTAGCCAGGACCGGGACTCCAGGGGTTGATATAGTCTATGTTTGCACTCAAAGTTGGTCTTGGGTTAGAGTTTTTCAATGGTTGAAAAACTCTTGAGATTGAGAGGGGAGTGGAGAGTACAGACATCTTTCATTTCATTTGATTGAAGTTAGGCCAAACCAGTGACTGGGGTAGTCATTAGCTCTCTGCCTTAACTTGTATTTATTGAATATTTACTTGTTCAGGCACTGGGCCTAGGGCCCTCTACTGGTTCATTAGCTCCAGAAATGTGGCACAATTCCCACATGATGGTATTTAGTCATAGAAGCTTAGAGAGGGCCCCTCATGAGGATTGTCAGATTTAACAAAAATACAGGAAATATTACATGGGACATACTTACACTAAAAAGTTATTTGTGATTTATCTGAAATTCAAAATTATCTTTACCCATTGCTTCCCCAAGGCAGTGAGTTAAGGAAAAGTCCAGGATTTATGCTTTGATCTGTTTTCTTTCAAAGACTTTGCTCTTTTTTCTCTTCTCTTCTCTTCTCTTCTCTTCTCTTCTCTTCTCTTCTCTTCTCTTCTCTTCTCTTCTCTTCTCTTCTCTCTGTCTCTCTATCTCTCTGTCTCTCTCTCTCCTTCCTTCCTTCCTTCCTTCCTTTCTTCCTTCCTTCCTTCCTTCCTTCTTGCTGTTATGTTTCCTTGAGAACTCAGAAACAGAATTCAGGTGTAAAAGATGAGGAAAATGCTGTCAGATAGGCTTTAAAGTCGTTCACTCATTGTAAATTTAAAATCAAATTCAGACATGCTTTTCTCTCTCACCTGACTGATGAAGATAATTCCATATTAGATCTAATGATGAAAAATAGAGGGGACTAATAAGGGCCTATGAGATACCTACTATGTGCCAAATACTGTGCTCCAACTTTTCAAATCAGGGTTTCAGTTCAGAAGTATAAATTCTGAGGCTGTCTGGATATTGAAGGGATTTTCTAGAGGAAGTGCCTTACTCAAAGGTCATTGGCCTAGTTTTGCCATTATATAACGCCTTCTGTTGGGAGAATACTGGGAAGTGACAGGAAGATGTGGTAATTAGGGAGAAATGCCCCGGCTGACTTTAGGGTAGGTTTTTAAGTTTTATGAATCTTTTAATGGGTTGGATAGATTATTTATTGCTGCTGAAGAATTGGGTATTTAATAGAGTGTAGATATTTATGGGTCTTGAAAAAATATGCATGACCTTTGTGGTCAAATGCATACTCACAGGCCACGCCTGCCTTGTAAAGCCACCCAGTGCTCACCCTAGAGGTGCGCGTAGCTCAGCCTTCAGAAACCCATTCTGGTCTAATCTTGCCCTGTATTGTGATGTTGAGCTCCATGTCCAATCCTGCTTGGCAGGCTTTTATGGGAGGAGCTAGGGATACTTAAAAAGCTAGAGGAGAGACAGACAAAGAAAGAAAAAAAACTTCCTGTGGGTAATGTAAGTGATAAATGCCTTGTCCTCTCTCCCTCTGCTGATCCTCCCTTACAGTGGTACCTTAAAATTGGATTAGCTGCAGCAACTTTGGAAGGAAGGTCTTAAAAGACTTTCCTTGGGAGAACTTTTGTCTCCATCTTTACTTGGATTGAGTGGAAATAAGCCCAAAGATATGTTTGGATTTCTAGACATCTAGACATTCTGGATAGCTAAAGGAGCTAGAAATTTGGTAGTCATTTTCTGTTATGTAAACACCATTGTCTTTTGTACAAGACTGTCTGGGAATAGCAAACATTTTAATTATTTAACAGGAGGGATTATGTCTGAGATATCTAATTTTGGGGTCCCACTCTATGTCCAAACTACTGCTTAGTTTATACAATAAAGTCCTCTACTTTTCTGGGTGGATGTAAAGAACCTCAAGACTTGTAATAGTAGTGATACATAATATTATGATTCCAAGTACTTTATAAATGCTAAATTCTTGCAACAATATTTTGAAGTATTCCTATATCTATTGTATTAATGAGGTAACCAAAGAGCAGAGAATTTGAATAACTTTCTGGCTACACAGCCATTTGGGAGCAGTGAGAGGATTTGAATATAAGCAGATAGATTTTGAAGAATTATTTTGTATAGTTGTGTGTGTCAGTTTTGCAGATTTCTAAGACCTTAATGGCTACACTGTAAGGCTGTATATGTATGTTATGCAGGTTCAGTCTTGCAAGAAGGCTGTTTTGTGTGCAGCAAATACCTTTGACATTAAATTTATCCAAAGCATTTAAGAGTAAATAGTGAGGTTTGGAAATTGCAAAACAGGTGAGTGGGGCTTGGGATAGAGTTTGTACCTTGGTGTCAAGGGAGGCGTTGGCAGTCTAGGCAGAGTGGCTCTGGTGGGAATGGAGTAAAGAGGCTGACACTGGCTTGCGCTGAAGTTCCAAGGAACACAGGTAGGTGGGTTGCGGGGGACACAGGAGAGTTAAAGGTAGGGAAAAGAAAATGGCAAGAAGGGTTGGTAATTAGAAATTAATTTCTGGGAGTAAGGTAGTTGATGCTCAGAAGAGAGAGACCTAATTACAATGTTTAAATGTGAGACAGCAGTAGATTGCTCATGAGATATCTGTGTGTCTACCTATCTCTTTAAAGAAGTTGATTAACTTGCAAATAGTGCTTTTATATACTTCGTTGAAAATTGTACTATGATAATATACTGGTTCATTCACTAAAAAGTGAACTTTCCCAGGCCCATTCATGCTATTTACCTTGCTCACAGACATGAATTTTTTTCCTGAGATGTAACCTTCACTGCTTAACTGTGTTTTAAAACTGTAACCTCATTTCCTTCCAAATTGGAAGCATTCCAGTCTTTTCTGTGATCATTGCTATGCTTGTATGTTGAATAAGGACAGAAAACAAGGAAAAACCTCAGTGCTTTGAATAAAGATGCACTTAACCTGTCTGGCACAAAAGTAGCCTATAGTACAGAGGACTGCACATAGCTCGTCTCTTAATGGGTCTTGTTTGTCTGTGATGGAGCGGTGTTTGCTTCTGAGAGCACGTGTGCTTCTGTGTGTCTCAGTGTGTATGTGTGCTTATTCAGCTTTTGCATTCAGCCTGCGTCACTCCTATGGTAATCAGTATCTCTCAGTGACCCCCGTAGGTGAGGAGGGTTTCTTTGATAGATAAAGACCCACTCTTCCCAGACATTAAATGTGCAGAATGCCTCGAGGGCTCTGAGCGCTGCACTAGCATGCAAGTCTCATACCCAAAGTAGCCACAGCGCCTGCATTCCCACAACAGCAGCAGCCCTGAGCAGATGCTTCCAGTGTGCTTCTCTGGCTGTGCTTTTTACTTTGAGACAAAGTTCTGTAATCGCATCTCATGGATTTATTTTCTCTTCACTGTAAAGCCTGGATTGTGAAGATCTCATCATGCTATAAAAGGAAGCATGAACCAAGTTCTGGGGTCTGCTGAGGATTTCTTTGCCTTCCCCCTTCCCCTGTCTGGAGATGTGTATGAGAAAAAGGCTTTGCCTTTAGAGAAATTTTACTGCTCTGGCCAATAATGTGTAGCATTATTAAATTTAATGGCAGACCTTGAAGTGTATAAAAACTTAAGTCCAGAAAAAGGTAAGACTCCTACTAATTTTAAGGTAAGTGTAATAGTTCTAGAAGAAGATGATAAGCATTTCTTATTTTCAGTTAAGATTTATTTGAATTCTTGACAATGTATTTGAGTTATATTTCAATATGGACTAAAAAGGTAATATAAATATTTTGATTAGGTAAAATGGGTTTTCCTTGTAAATGTATATTTTTATAATGGTAGAATTTGCATGCTGACAAATGAAAGTACATGATTATAATGAAGTGGTCAGTGAGAAAGTAATTTGTATTCTTAGGTGATTAGTGAGGAACACAGACGTGCTCAGAAATGTCATTTGTCTGACACTTTGAAAGACTGGGTTTTAATTTAGATATTGTCAAGTCTTATTCACTTTGAATAATGATGAATAGTTATATTTTGACTTTCTACAGAAATCTAGAGAGAATGATTCCTGATTGCTATCACTTAGACATAGTCACAGGTAGTGCAAATAATTGGCTTTATAAAATGGAATGGTATAAGTATTCAGCACAGATAAAATGGAGCCAGAATCCATGTGTCATGTTCTCAGAGGCTATCTGTTGGTTCCAGGAGTGTGAGGGGAACGTCCTAAAGTATGAGTTAAGAGATCAGAAATTTAAAATATATGGGGGTTGTTCTTGAATTATAAGAAATGTTCCTGCCTGGTCAGACAGAATAAATAGCATGTCAAGCAATGTCTTCTGGACTTATCCTCAAGCTGAAACGCGCCTGTCATTTCAGGTTATCCATGTGCATCGACTCAGATGTAACTTTAGCACATCCGTGCTTGATCTGAGAGCCTGTCTGGAGACTGTTGATAGTTTATGGTATCAAATTCGGTGTGCCACACTCACAGTGTCAGCAGTGATGCTTGCTTTTTATTCAGAAATAGAAATTGTACTGTGGTTGAGATTTCCTGAGGATACCTGGATTTTCCAAGCCTGAGAAGGAAGTTTTGTACAGAAATAGTATAAGATTTGGTGTACTCCCTAGGCAGTGTGTCAGAAGGATTCTTGTTTTAAATGTGTCTTTTAGTGTACTTGGGCACTGTTTTGTTTACAGGATGTAAGAGTAAATTGAATTGCATAACATACGTCATGGAAGTAATGATGAAAGTGACTTGAATTACTTTCATTACCTAAAAGATGGTCTTTAAGAGTAAAGTTAAAATAAAGCTCCAATTCTTAAATATTATGGGAATCTGAATTAATTTTCTAGTCATAAAAGCTTTTAGAGTTGACTCATGTGTCTTATTTGAAGTAGATGTTTTCACATACAAATGGTTTTACTAGTCTTTTAAATTGAGCATATTCATATTTTACTTAAAATAGTTATCATATTTGCTTTAATAACTTATTTTGATGAATGAAAATTTTTTTTACTGATTATCCATCTTGGTTTTAAAATTATCTAGTTGGCAGCAAGATCATTTTTTGAGGGATATTTCTTCTGAATTTCAAATCACTTTTAAGAGTGTTAAATTATGTGGAGTGTATAAAATTAATAGAGTCTAAATCTTCATGACATCTAAGTTGCATTATTAAGTAGTAGCATTAGTGGAAGTAGTTTCAATTGCTAGGATTATGAAATTGAGAAATATTCATTCAGAGCAGGAAGACCAGAGAAAAGACACTTGAGTTTTGGTAGTATAACCTTACTCTCAAAACTCTGTTATATTTAAAACATATATTTGATCCTACATTTTATATCTACATCTATATTTATATCTATATCTGTATCTCTATCAGACATTATTGTTGCAGTTTATTATTATTTGCCTCTGAATTCAGTGTACATGCTAATTCTCTTGAGTTAGGACTGGAGAATTGTTTCAATAACTCAACACTGACAGAAGGTAAGAACTTGAATTGTAACATAAAATCAGAAAGTAGAACTAGCTTGAGGCACCTAAGACACATGTTTTTATAACCTTTTTATGTCTATGAATTTCAATTTCCCTTTTAGTAAAAAAAATACTACTTCTTTGCTTATCTCAGGGTTGTGAAAAGAGTTACTGATATAATGTTTCTGAAAACATTTGGAAGATGGAAAAGGAAAAGGATTATAGAAATGTAAGATGATGTAGAGTGAGAAATAAGGATGAGGTACTTTAACCTATTTTAATGGGAAAGAAATTGTGTTGTTCCAGGGTACCAAGTAAAAACACTTTGACCTAGCACTTTGGTACCATCTGCTACTGATTTTCCCCACGGCTTACGTGCCAGGAGTGTGCACACTGTGTGTGTATGCCTTATGGGAGGGCAGATGTCATTGTGGGAGTGCTCTAGATTTCTAGAGCAGAGAGAAGCCATAGCAATCTTTTCTTTTGTAAGGAAAAAAAAATAGGCACAGAGATGCTGCACTGTTTTCTTGAAGTCATGGGGCAAATCTGTAGTTAGAATCAAGCCTTCCTGTTCTCAGATCTTGAGGGCTGGATGGACCTTCTTCAGGGGTCTCAGTGTTTGCTATTAGGAGATGTAAAATATTTGGTACTTGTGATTTCATTTATGTTATGTCCTTTAAATTCTTTATACAAAGCTGCTGTTTAAGGAGGGATAATTGAGCTTTTTATGGATTTCTTCACAATAGAGATATAGTGAAATACAGGTAGAGTGAATGCTTTATAAGGAGCTAATTAGGAATATAAAGATGAATGCAGGTATTTACCTCTCAGTAACTCCCAGTCTGGTGCACAAACATGCTGACATGACTATAATTCTCTAGTTGGAGGGCATCCCAGGGCTCCCTGGAGCATGGGGAAGTCAGCATAGGTTTCTGGAGATAGCATTTAAACTGATCCTTGAAAGATGAGGAGGATTATATTAGATGGATAAGAGAGGATGAGCAAGTAGGCAATGATCAGGTGTTACAAAAAGACCTGGTACTCAAAATTAAGGGATTTGGACAGTATTGAAAAAGGCAACAGAGGGTTGAGTTGGAGAGAGGTTAATCAGATGCTAATTTTAAAAACTAACATCTAACAGCGGTTTAGAGACTGGTGGGAAGGGTGGGTCTGGAACAAGGGAGACAGAAGGCACCTGCAGTGAGTAGGAAAATGATAATCTCAGTTGGAGTTTATCAGCTAAATGATCCGTCATGAGGAAACACTGGTTTTGAAGTCCACATTGGTATGCTTTGCCCTTGATCCAACTGCCTTAGACCTTGTACGGCTTCTACCTCTGTATGCAGTTGCTATCCAGTCATTGCCTTGTATTTGGGACACATTAGCTGTATGAAGGTAATTTCCTCATCAGAAAGTTAACGTGTTTGTGGCCTTTTGTTTGCAAGACAAAATTCTGCTAAATGATGAGTATCTCTGTTCTTTCTTTCTAATGGGGGAATTTTTTTTTTTTCCTAAAAGCTGAGAGAACGCCTCCTCAGGAGGCAGGGTTTAGTTTGAATGTTGTCATATTGTTTTCAGAAGTAGCCCAAATAAAATATTAGGGTAGGGAGGTCAGTGCCATTTTTCATTTAACTTTGTTAAAGGTGGCTATTTCTATATATAATGAAGATGTTGATGCCCATATGTTGTGTGCTTTATTCTGTTCTTTAGATCTGCTAGTCTATTTCTGAGCTATCTGTGAAGGCAAATTCTTCTTCTGTGATTTTAATAAAAAGATCTTTGGCTCATTTCATGTATTTTCTATTCCAGCTGAATTTTAGAATTGCTTGTCTAGCTCCAAATATAATTCCATTGGGATTTATTTCTTAAAATTGCATTACAGATTAACAGAGAAGTGCCAACCTGTAGACATTGAGTCCTCTCTTTTAGAAGCCTTTATGGGATTCATTATATTTTATGGTTTTTCAAGTCAATAGAGATTTAGAATTTTCTTCAAGTGGGCTTTTCACATTTCCTGTTATGGTTAATTTTATAGTTTTTTGTTGGTATAATGAAAAAAAATTTGTATTATATTTTCTTCATCATCATCATCAACAACAACAACAAACCAAGTGTAAAATTTAAACACAATAATATAGAACTTGTATCAAAAAGTATAGCTGTCTCTCTTAGTCCTCCTTATTTTTTTCTTAAATAAACTACTTTAAACTTAGCTATCACTTTTGCATGGGTTACTTTTGTACATCTAAATGATATACTTATTTTGCTACTTACTGTTTTCCTAACTTGAGGTTTTATTTGTAGATTTTCTTCTGAGGTAGATGAAGAATTAGCTCACTTATACTGTACTTCTCCCATGCCCCTTTTAGTTGCTTCATTGGTTACCTTTGTCATGTTAACACTTTGTTGATACTGTCTTGGGCACTGATGATTACACCCAGGGCCTTGTGTATCTAAGCATCCTCTCTATCACTGAGCTATCACCCAGCGCCTGTACTCATACTCTAAGTATGTTTCATGCTCTGCCAACTAGCACACTCTACCTAATGACCACAGTACTCCTTTTACTATTCATTAAAAAAAAGAAAAACTCTACTAACCTTTCATTGGAATATTTTCCTGTTCTTTTTCTCTACTCATAATTACTCCTTCTATGTTTTGATCATAGATTGATTTAAAAAGCTTAATATCAAGGGACAAAATTTGCATTACTAAGACTATGTGCATTTGTATTGCTAAGACTATATAAATGCTCACCAGAGCAAATTAACTAAGTTATTTTAATTAAGGCTACTGTCTCAGAGGATATTATCTGAAGAAAAGCACAGAATTCAGGTATTTCTATGACACATGTTGGAACCAGTTTCATTAGAAAAAGCTGAATACCTAATGTTAATTTTTTTTTGTCTTTTTCCTTTTTATCAGTACCGGGGATCAAACTCACAACAGCCTACTTGCAAGGCAGGTGCTTATGCCGCTGAGCTAAATCCCCAGCCCCCCTAATGTTAATTTTCATAACTGGGGATCTTTGTCAGAGCTCTGGAAAGTGGGAATAATTATCTCCATTTTAGAGATGAGGAATCTGAGGTGCAGAGGGAGCAAAGAATGTTGGTGCTCTGACACTTTAATCCTTTAATCCTTTTGTCTGACTTTGGAGCC